TAGGGGCGTGGAAAATCGGACCTGAAGATATAGTAATTTTTTAAATTCTGCTATTTTTCGGACACTATTGATGCCAGAGATCTCAAATTTTGTATATATACTCGGGCTGATCACCCAAGACCAAAAAGCTTTGTCGGATATATGTCCGCCCACAGGGGGCGTGGCAAACCGCAAAAATTTATATCTCCTAAAGTATAATAGTATAATTTGGATAGTTGAGTTACTGGTAGCCTCCTCTATCGATTCCCCAAAAAATAATTTTTACGCCTCTTTGGGGGCGTGGCATATCGAAAAATACCCTGTAAGCATTCAAACTTTGCAGTTAGGGTACCGTTATCTCTTTCTAAAAACTGACCAAAAGTGAGGTGTCTACGCCCAGTAGGGGCGTGGCAAATCGGAAAAGCCTGTATATTCTACAGTATTAAAGCGAAACTTAACTACTAAATTGTTGATGGGATGTGAATGAGTATTCCGCAGTCGGTAACGCCCGACTGCAACGTTCTTACTTGTTTGACATTGGGATGAGAAAGAGGGGTATAAACAGATGTGATTTCATATTTTGGTTGCCTTAGCATAATTAATACAGTTGACATCAACTCAAATAGTTAGAGCTCAATCTAGATTCAAATTTTTTGCATGGAAGAAAAGATACTGATAATTACAAGCGTAGTATTGTCTAGCATTAGATGAAGATCCCAGATATTGCTGATTCATCCAGACAGGAGGACGCGTAGGACTATGTATGTTGACTCGACTATGGATTATTATCAAGAATGGGTTATAGGCTAAACCACGCCCCCTTCTACCCATTACATACATGGACACAAAGTCATGGAAACAAAGCCCAGAAATCTCAATTCGCAATGACTTCAATGGGCACGCAAAAAGCAGTCAACTAGACAAATCCCGTTCCATAATGGCAAACGGCAAGCGACTTCCCGTACGAGCTCGATCGAAAGTATGCAATACTTGCAGTCAAACTAAATGTATACATTGTATTTGTGTTTTATCTGAAAGCCAATTTAATATAAACAAATAAGTATGCTTAAATCCGGGATTTGCACGACTAGCATATACCCTAGATGAATTATTTTGGGGGCGAAATCATAAACACTTCTGCTATTTTCATTGCACAAGTTTTAAATTCACGCCAATCATTAATAATAGAGTCTTGATTAGTGTAAGAAGATATAATCATTGAATTCTGTAGAATAATCATCTGGCTACAGGCTAACGTTTAGGCAACCATTGCCGAAGTCACGCTGCTGAGAGACTTCAATGAATACGGAGAGTAAAGACGTCAGACAATGGGCCGCCAAAAGCAAAAGTAACAAAAAGAAAAAAGAATTAACAAATATTATTCATAAAAATGTTGTTATTGAGTGTTTTGGAAGCGCAGTATGAAACCATATGGGGAAGCTAAACTAAATGCTGAGGGTATTGATTAGCATTTGAGTTGGCTGAGCAGACTATTGTTTATTGCCATAAGCTACGATCGATAAATTTACACAATGAAAAGAATCAATCAAGGCGCCCGAGCCGGAGACAGAGACGGAGCCGAAGCCGGAGCCGGAGCCAGATTGTGATTGTACTAAGTTGTGTGCAGGAACAAGTTCTCATTGTTCTGCCAAATTGAATGGGGCGTTCATCAAGCCGATTGGGGCAGATGCGCGTCATTCCGCGATATATTTAACAAATATCAACAATTTCAATAAAAATGCCAAACATCTAAATCCCTTCCTTTATATGAGCGAAAATTTACATAACGCCATTCGATTCGATTGGGTTTTTTTTACGTCTGCCGTTCTATTTGCGTCTCCGGCCAGTTTGTGCTGATCTACTTTTAACAAGGTTCTCTGGCAGTTGCTGATGCTGCGGAGGCTGCTTCTGCTGCTATATAAAGCCACCGATCGGTGGAGCACTTCAATACAAATCAGTCGGTAATCCAATCAACATGAAGGTAAGCAAACCATCATCGATGGATGGCCAAGTGGATTCATCGAGCATTCATTGGATGTCTTTTTGCAGTTCTTCCTCGCCTGTTTGCTGCTCGCCGCCTGCCTGGCTCTTGGCCAGAGCAGTGCCATCTATGGCACAAGCTACGCCCAAGTGCCCATCGTCCGTCATGTGCCCGTGGTCCGCAGTGTGCCCGTGGTCCGTCATGTGCCCGTCGTCGACTCCGTTTCCGTGCCCGTCGTCCACTCGGTAGTGCCCGTGCACCGCGCCGCCTACCTTTCATCACCATCTCTGCTGCGCGTTGGACACGCCTACGATGTTCCTCTCGCCTACGGCGGAATTCTGAAGCAAAAGAAATAAGCTTACTCCAATTAACTGAACAGCTCGGCAAATACGCTTCAAGATTCTTGCAACAAAATTTACGAACAATTTTTTTTTTATTTTTTTTTGTTAATGTAATACGTCAATAAATTCGAAATCTGTATAGTCAAAGATGATAAGTGCTTAAACATTTTGAATGGACTACGACAAACTGGCGCCAAGTTGGTTCACATCGTTAAACATTCTTTTGGCAATTGCTACTGCATAAATCGATGGTAATGAGATAGTAGTGAGCTCAAACATATCTCATCATGAGTATGGTCTTAAGGAGCACTGTTGCACTGTCACCAATAGAGCTTCCAGCTCAATCCCAACAACTAATTAACAACTGATAGCTGAGATGGAGAAAGACGGATAAATGATTCATCCTAATGGGGTTACTCTTGTCAGCAATCTTCTTGATCTATCTTTAAGCTTTAAGGCCCAGCAACTCAAGCAACAGTGATGACTCTGTGGATCCGGACAATGTAATATATCTCCGATATCTTTGGCTTTGTTTATCTCTGTTCGTAATGTCCTTGTTGTACAGAAGTTAATCGAGCTATTCTTCATTATCGATGTTTCTCTTTTCACGTATGCTCTAAGGATTAGAATATCATATTTAACCTCAGGCTTCGCTGAACTAAAAAGTCCTTTTATATACTGTTGGCATCATCAGCTGTGAACATGCATTCAATTATAAATATGAGCTCTTCATTTATTCAGTATGAAGGAGATGTACATTCTTGAAATTGGATGCACTCTTCCCAGTTTAACATTTTAAAGCGAGACATCATGTTTGCATGAGATCGTTATCCATTAAAAGTGGAGAAGACAAAAAATTCTTTTTAGTCTATGTGTTTCAACATATGCGAATTGTCCACTGATCTTACCCAAAGAAACCCCAATTATTGATAGCTCAACTAAATGGGTGACATTCGGTTTTCGATATTTTGCTTGCGCTTAGCAAGTTTTTCGATTAATGATATACATTATATATTAGAAGAACACGAAGACAACCTTGAACGTACAAAACAGATGTGAAATAGATAGTATTAAGCTCGATTGAGGAACTAAATCTTTATTTCTACTAATCCCAGATGATGGTGTCGTAACTATTGCTTTTGTAGTTGTAGTTGTTCAAGGTAGCTACTCTTCCAAAACAATTGTGGAAACTTTTAACTGTATTTGGCTAGGAAATAATTATGATTACTTCAAATTTGAGAGATTACATTACATTCTCAATGCAAGAATTTTTAAAGCTCTTAACGGTTGCTCACAGTCCAGCATGAATTTACAGAGGTGATTAATAATAACATTCATAATGAGGTATAGGGATTAAGTAGAGATAGATATCTTATTCTATATACAAAAAAAATGTTGTTAACTGACTAAAAGCATACAAAATTGCCAGGCAAAGCTCAAATATTTGATGTAATCTGTGTTTCTCACACTAATTGGGACACATTTAACATACTCGAACTCACACGTGCGCACGCACACACACACGCATACATTACAGATTACTGATGTTGTTTGCCGGTTTATGACCATTAAACAATAGTTGTGTGTATTAGATGGCTGGCTTGTTGATTTGGAATTTTACATAACCAGCTGTTCGCTGGCGAACTGAGATGTCGGCTTTGAGTTGACAAACACAAACGATTCACCTTGAAATGCTGACTTGAAATTGAGACTAGACTTAGAGTGTTCGATTGGCCCGTGGGCCGCGTTAGACAGCGAGCCGCCGCTTGAGGCAACTGCAGCACCAACAATACGCATATGCAAATGCATCCGTAGAGAAATAAAGTCAGAAAGAGAGGGAGAGAGAGAGACAGATAAGGGTAGACAAAGTGGAAGAGTGAGACACCTTCTTGAGGCATCGTCTTATCAGTTGCCGTGAACGGCAACGGCAACGGCAACGGCAACAGCGTCCACGGTCGCTTCATTTTCATGCTAATTAGGAGGAGGTCGCTTTCGGAATTTCGGAAATGCATGGAGTAGACCGAAAGACGTTGCAACGTTACGTTAAAGTTAGGGCTTTACGAAACTGGAAACTGGAAATCGGACAACGTTATGAAAATTAAAATTGAAATTGAGCTGGAAATGGAAATAGAAATGGAAATGAAGAACCAACTGGGTGCGGTGCGACCTTATGAAAACGAAAGCGACGACGACGGCGATGGCGGCGGCGGCTGCTTCTTTATAAGCAGACTTTGCATCATCTTCGATCATCACGATCTGAACCATGATGATGTTAGCTATGATGACCACAAAGATGATGATGGTGATAATGAAGACCATTTATGAGATGCGGCCCTGGTCATTGCAAATGTTAATGAAATGCTTTTGTTTAACTCTGGCTCAGCCCTCAAGATATTGCCTCTGCTTGGACCTGGGATGGGCCAGCTCAAAAGGTTGGGATGCGTCGTTGCGTCGCTATGAAATTGCTTTGCTAATTTCGTAGCATCAAGCTCATCATGAGCATTGGTTACAGCAGCTGTTGATGCTGTTGATGCTGCTGATGCTGCTGATGCTGCTGCCGTGCTCGTGCGTTACAACGTCTTGGAATCGTATAAAAGCAAGCGATGGCCAATGGATTGACATCAGTCGTGTTTGAAGAGCACACAAAGCGTAGAATTTGGCATTAGAGTCGTCAATCCCAAGCAGGAATAGTCGTCAGTATGAAGGTAAGCATCCCACATACTCAACCAGCCCTGCCAAGTGTATCCATTCTGATCTGATTTAGGTCTTTGTGTGTCTGAGTGCGCTTTTTGCCGTGGCGAACGCCGGCTTTCTGGGACTGCTCGGAGGTGGCGGCGGCGGCGGTGGTGGTGGCGGCGGCAGCATCAAGTCGGGCCTCAGCCTGGGAGGCGGTAGCGGCGGTTACGGTGGCGGTTATGGCGGTGGCTACGGTGGCGGACACGGTGGCTTGCACGGACATGGACCCGTACAAGTGGTTAAAGTCATTCACCAGCAGGGAGGCATCTCCGGCGGTGGTGGCTATGCTGGCGGCTATGGCTATGGACCCGCCCCACAGGTGTACAAGGTGAAGGTGATCTCTGGCGGCGGCTCGGGCCCAGCTCCCATCTACCATGGCGGTGGTGGACCCGCCTCTGTCAAAGTGATCAAGGTTTTGCATCAGGAGTCTGGCCCTCTCGTCGGTGGTCCCATCGTTGAAAGCGGCCCACAGATCATCAAGGTTTTGCATGAGAACCACGATAATGGCCACCACATCCATGTCGGTCCATCCGTGCACGCGCCCGCCAGGGTGGTGCGTGTCATACACGAGCATACTTCGTTGCCTGCTCCCGCTCCCATTTACACTGCACCCGCACCAGCTCCAATCTACAGTGTCCCTGCACCAGCTCCAGTTTACAGTGTACCTGCTCCAGCTCCAATCTACGATGCACCTGCACCAGCTCCAGCTCCAATCTACAGTGCACCTGCACCAGCTCCAGTTTACAGCGCACCCGCTCCAATCTACAGTGCACCCATCTCAGTTTCGGCCCCCGCACCCGCGCCCGCACTTCAGCCCATTTACAATGCCCCAGCGCCTGCACCCATTCAGTACAGCGCTCCCGTTCAAGTTCAGAACCAATACAGTGCTCCTGCCCCGATACAGTATAGCGCACCGCTCCAGGCCCCATCACCCGTGCTGAGCGTGCCCGAGCCCGCACCCGGTCCAACTTTTAACCAGGGCTCAGTCTTGAGCATACCCGCACCCGTCGAGGAGGCACCATTGCCCATCGGCCACGCACCTGCCCCGAGCTATGGCCCGCCTCAGCTGTAAATAGCTATCCATTTTCAACACCTAAGAGCACAACTGCACCGCAGCACCACTGGAGGCATCCACCATCACCAGCACCAGCACCAGCACCACATGTTTCAGAATGTGGGGATACATCAAAGACCTCCAATTCTATGACTTCTATCGACCTATCGACCTAGCTTCTTTATGCCCTCAAAACTCTTCTGAACGACGCCATAAATTATTTTAATTTTTTTTTTTTATATAATAGATATATTTTTTGTTTGTTAAAAAGAGAAAATAGAAAATAAACCGACTGTTAAATACATTCGAAACACTTTGGAGATTGACAAATGCTCAGTTTGATATCTGAAATTTGCATATGCAGTGAAAATTCTATATAAATATATCTGCTTTAAAGCAGCTGGTGCTAAATATATAGCAATATGAATCGAATTCCATATTAGTCTGGCTAATGAATTGACTATAAACTTTTATGAACATCAGAATGAGATCGTAGTTAGGCACTAAAACAACTAGAACGAATCCCTTGAATATGGCTTGCAATTCTTGACATATCAACGTACCGCACTCGCACTCCACACCTGCCACCCCACACACACATACAACGCGCGGGGGCTAAGAAAAGAAAAAAATCAATGTTATATCACTGGAGCCCACTCTAAACTTGACCTTCGCGTTATCGCCAGTGGCTTAGCTGCAACGCCAGCTGTTGCGCCTGCGCAAACACCAATAGATATTAATCTGACGCATTTGCATAAATAAACTGTTAAATTTCACATTTTCTTTTATCTTTGGCGGGGATTTACGAATGTTTGAACACGCGAACAAAAACGAAAACCAAAAAAAAAAAACAAAACAAAAAAATGTGGTTTTTGTTGGGCTGTGCTGTTGTTGTTGCTGGTCAGCTTTTGCTATTACGATGATATTATATGTATTCGCTTATTTTATTGTTTCATAACAAATTTGTTGGGGCATGCGAACGACGCTAACGACGACAAATTTGTTTCGCTTTAATTATTTTAAACACAATTGTAAGCTGTTGATGTTGTTGTTGTTGTTGTGGATTCGGTTGTTTAATGTTATTAAAGTTGTTTAAAGATTTTTTAAAGTTATTCGGCAGCTTTGACTAGCGCTTCAGCAACTTCCACGGCAATGGCAGCTTCTGCCTTGGCCTGCAATGCGAATGAAAGAGTTAGTTGTCTACGTTTCTCATTTTCTCATTTTCAAGTGCATCGAACAGCCCCTCACCTTGTCGTTTCCAGCAGAGCTCAGCTCAGACTGGTATTTGGAAAGCAACTGCCTGGCCTCGCTGACATCGATGTCCTCAATATTGTGCGCCTCCTCGGCGAGCACCTGCACAGAGGAGTCCTCATTGACGGTCACAGAGCCGCTGGAGACAAAGTACTTTGTGACTTTGCCCTCGTTGTCGGTCACCTGGACAACGCCGGGTTTCAGCACAGCTATGGGCAGAACGGGTCAAGAGATTGATTATTGATTTACGTTTGATTGATAAATAGCAACAACGATTCCTGCTTACCCAATGTGGGCACATGCTTGGCCAGAATACCGAAAGAGCCGCTGAAAGAGGGCACATCGATTTGTCGCACAACTGCGGCGTCGAAGAAGGTCTTGTTGGCAGCAGCGAATGTCAGTTTCATGTCGTCCGAGTAGGAGCGATTCTGGCCGAGACGAGCGCCGCGCATGGCCAACAAACGAGCGTTTCTCACGAATGACATTTTGTTCTGAAAAAATTAAAATATTGGGTGTGGCAGTCAGTAAGTTAACTCAGCACCTTGCAAAACAGTTAACTGCTTTCAAAATAAAATACATATACAAATTATGTAACTTTGTAGGTTAGGCAACAGGCGACAAGTGACAGGCATTCGGTTAACTAAACACTGTGAGAGCACCACGGAATGCAGCCAGTTTGCTGTTCTTTTTATCCTATCGAAAACAGCCCTTTTGCAGCAATTTGATTACCTTTTATTTATTTGGAGTGTGGCGAAAATAAAGAATATTATGGAATCGCTAAGCTCGTAACCAGTGCCGCTGCTTAGAGATGTGAATCAAATCGACAATCACTTATTTTCTTCATATGGATTGCCTGCACTCTGAATTAATATCGATATTATTTCCTCTCTCTCTATCGACTCGCCGCCATAAACTATCGGCAATAACACGCGAGGCTGGTATGCAGTACTATAAACATTAGATAATAACACAAATATAAATGTATTTATAAATGTAAATACATACAATAATTATCCAAAATTAAAAAAAAAGTATATAAATATATATATATTGCGTCATATTTCGCGTAGTATACAAACAAAATAAACATAAGAACTTAGTGAAGAGCTTTGATATATTATCAATATGTACAGCTTGTTTCAAATCATAGTAGCGCAGCTCGTTTGTCGCTTTGGGATAGCTGCCTCAGTATAAATTAGTATTTATTTGTTTTCGGCGTGAGTGTACATAAATAAACTCTGAAAAAATTCGGAGCTATTCAGAATATATAAAGCAGCAATTTCTTAGTCTAAACAACTATGAGTTACTTACAGTTAATAGTACTCTTAGTTCTATTATCTTTTAAGCCGGCATCTGCCGGTCGACCTCAAACTGATACCGTGTATCTCGCTGTCGGCACTTCAATTGATATAACCGCAAACAGCTACGGAAACAATGTGCTGCGAACATTCTGTTATCCGGGTAAGCCTCGCTCACTATTCAGCCTATTTGAGACGGTGGAACTGGTGCTCTCAATAGCCAACGATGACTACTCCGAATATGGCGGGCGAACCCCCGAAGAAGTCCTTGAGCATTACACTGAAAAGCGTTCGTTGTTCAGCTTCACGCTCTTCTCACAGAAGCGCCAAAACATCCAGTTATCGCCATTCGAACAACAATGTATCGGCGTTTCCTCCAAGCAGCCGTACAATATAAGCCTCAAACACGCACAGCTGGATATATGGCGCCTCCTACAATTGTCTCTCGGCATTGCAGTGTTCTGGAGTGCGGGCCGCTTGGCCAAGAACAGCCTCTTTTATTATATGGCGGGCATGGTGCTCGGGATATGCGCCTCGCTGTTGGTCATCATTGCCGTTACGTCGAAACTTTTTCCTCGCCGTCCAATGATGTACGGCGTACTAATCGGAGGGTGGACCATCGGCCTTTACATTCTCAAACAACTATCGGACAACATACGAGTCATATTAATCACCTATCGCGAATATGTGCTTTGGTATCTGGTGATTACTGGCTTAATATCGTTTCTCGTCTGCTATCGCATCGGACCGCCCAGGAATCCGCGCTCGCAAAATATTATTATGTGGGTGCTACAGGCAGTTGGCTCTGCCATCGTCTACTTCAGCAGCTGGCACACTAGTGCGTGCGTCGTCCTCCTGGTGCTCGTCTGCTCGGCCCATTATTGTCCGAATTCGGTGTTGCAGTACGTGCGCAGTTTCTACAAGCGACGCTTTCCGCCCAAACGTCGCCTACTCACCCAGGAGGAGTACTATGAGCAGGCCGTGACTGAGACAGCCCGCTCCCTGGCCGAGCTGCGCGACTACGTGAACAGCCCGAATTGCCGCCAATGGAGTGTTATCAGCGCCCTACGTGACCCAATGCGCTTTGCCTCCTTTGCCAACGGTGCTCCGCATTTGTTTGATGAAGAAATCGAGGACTACTCCCGAACCATTGAGGACTCTCTGGAAGGTGCTGACGAGGAAGAGGCCTTTGATTTTTTGCAATCCAGCATGTACTATCGACCCACCGGCAGGCTTCGAAATGCGCAACGCACTTCGTCCAGTCCGGCCTCATATCCGAGACGTGCCCCGTCCCATGGCAGGCAGCTAGGCAACAACAATGTGAACGCACGCAACGATTACGAGGACGACGACGATGATGATGAATTTATGGACTAGGAGTATACAAACATCATAAGATAAGGCTTTATATGATATATTTTTAGAAATTTTTTTTGTCTAATCGATGCCAAAAGATAAATTGTTTTTAAGCCCTACCTAATTTTAGCTATAGGTCGTAAACGGACTGTATATATGTATTTGTTTGGCCCATGTAAATTTGGAAGACTTTAAATGTACGTCTATATTTTTATTTTGTAAAAGTCTTAAGACTTAAGACTCGCTAGTTTTTAATTATTTATGTATGTAAGTGTAGGAGCTCTAGGTCTGATATCATTTGTCCCGATAATTTTAAATTTGATCCATTTGTAAAAAATTGCATTTATATTTTATATTCAAATTAACTTAATCTTAAATAAATATTAAGTGAAAATGTCTCTCTATTCCATAAGGTAAGCTTAAACAGCCATTTGTAAAACTCTCGAAAACCAAATCTTTTCCTGCCGAAAAAATAAAAATTACTTTTATAAATATGTACATTCATATACACATGCATAAATTGTGCGAATGTGACAGCGGCCTCGCTCTGTCCCGCTCATTGCTGTGTGTGCGCAATGCGCATCATGCCATCCGTTTCATTTTGGCACACACTGGCCCTATGCTGCAACTGCCATGAGCGCAGTTAACTAAGCTAATATACATGTACATATATGCATGCATACATACATATACATATGCATGCAAAGGTGTGTACAGCTGCGAAAAATAAAGAGGCAGCATGTCTCTATAGCCCATTTTCGTAGTTATTTTAAGCTATTCACATTTGTGGACTAAAGAAGACTATATTTTTGGAATACAATACAATAAACTAACTTGAGAAGGAGTAACATCAACAAAATTTATTTAGTTCCGTTTGTACTTGGGGGTGCTTGGTAAAGCCAGAATAAATTCCTATCTTTGAACTACGTTAAGAAGGCATATTGCTTATATCAATTTCACTCGCATCCATATGTGCAAATGTATGTATATATACATGTATGTATCTAAGCAGACCTGTATCCAGTAAGTCAATAAACTTCACATCTCAAGCTCTAAGGCACAACTTTGATTTCGTATCTCCCACTTGCATCATGGTCAGAATTACATACATACATATGTATGTAAATATCTGAAGAGCAGAACTGATAAGTCGTCAACTGAATCATAGCAAGAGTGGAGGAGAGGAGAGGTCACTGTTTCGGCTCAATTTTGATGCGCTTTCGTGGGCAGTTGAGCAGATGCCCTGGAGATTCTGTGGCTAGTTCGATAGGACGTTTCGCACTGGCCACGCAGACCATATTGGAGCGCTTCGTCAGCTGTTCAAATTCCTCAGGCGCGCTTTGATTGGCGCGCTTTGGCTGCGTCTCAGTTTGCGTGCGCCGTCGCTCACGTCGCTCCCGACGCGGCTGCGGCATGATGAAAGAGTCGTAGATATGTAGCAGCTGTTCCATTGCCAAGCACTCGGCATTCGGCACGTACAATTCGCGCTGCAACAGCAAAATAAACAACAAAAACGATGTGATAACACAGAGAGCAATTGGCAATTCGAATACCTTTCTGAACTGGTCCAAGATGATGTCGCGCGTCGGTTCTACATGCTGCTTGCGTTCCATGAAATCCGTCAAACCTGTGAACTGTTTTGTACAAGAGCATACGCATTGCACTGTTTTCGAGCGCACGAGATGGAACAAAATGTATTTTAATTTAACTAATGTGCCTTGTGCAAGGCGGAACAGCTGATTTCACCTGCCAGAGCTGCCAACTTTCTTGAATTCAGTTTTAAATTCGAATTGCAATTTAGCCGCTTATATAACTGCAAAATGGAGCTGATTCGTCATCAGCTCTATACTCAATAATAGTGCTAATATTTACTTAAGTATTTTTATCATATGATATGTTTATCATATCTGTCTTTACATGTTTGTGCTGCTGGAACTGCCATCTACTAAAAGTGTTGCCTACGCTTTAGCGCAGCAATATTATTGAAATGCGCAGCATACTCTCGAGCTGCAGAATGAAGCAGTTGCCATTGCTGGGGCGGGATGGAGCTAGAATGCAAATGCAACTGTTTCAGGTTCTGCTCCACATTTATGAATCAAGATGAAACATATTGGCGTATGACGGCAATAATAAACTCAAATAGGAAGGCACATCGAGGCTCTCTGCAGATGCGCTCAGCATGTCTGATGATAGTCGAGCTAATGAAGCACATGTTAAAGTGCCTCATCCGCTGATGCGTTGTAGTAGTGCTTGTATGCAGGGAGCGTAGACTCTGGCTACTCTCGTCTTCTCAGCTCGTCTCTGTTCGCCTTCTCGCCGCCGTCTCTTCCTCATCTCGTCTCGCACACTGACATTGACGTCGCGTCGGCGGCTCCAATTTCCTCTTGCCATAATTTTTGGCACTTTATGTGCCGGCAGATAAGAATAATATGCCTGACTTTTGTGTATTTCGGTTTTTGGTTTTTTAGTGCTTAGGGCTAAACGTTTCCTTCGCACAGCAATTG